TCAACCATGATAGTATTTGTTGAAAAAGAAAAAAATGCAACTTTGCAACAATAGGTGGCTTAAGCTTGGCAAATAAAGCAGGTCTAATTACATTTACAACATACTTTTAGTTTTTATCTTTTTTTTTTTTTTTTTTTTATTATCTTCGCTTCCTACAAGGCTGCAAGCAACCACTAAATAGTGTTGGAAGTTACTGGAGGAGAAAAGATGAAAATTGTAGAACAAGATAATGATTAACAGATAACTGAAAAGATTGCAAATTATATGAATCAGGAAAGCGAGATGAAGGAAGTGCAATTCAAAATATTGATGTTTGAGGAAAAAAACTAGACAAATAAGAGTTTTTGGAGCACTTAGGAACAGTAATAGAAATAGAATGAGACTTAAATGAATGACAAGTAATACAAGAATAAGTTTTAGTATATGGCACAAGAGACACTAACTCTTTAGAACAGTGCACATTATAGTACTTGTAGAAAAGAGAAAGAGTAGCAACATTACAACAATGTGAGAAAGGTTGAAGGTTGGCTGCAAGAGCAGGTCCAAATATGTTTATAATGCGTTTTTGCACCTTATGAAAAAAAAAAAGGGAATCGTTAGATAAAGAATAGAATCCAGAGTAAGAAAGTGTTGAGCTCAATAAAGAAATGCAACTTTAGCAGATGCTAATTTTGCAACGGGTTTGATAAAAGGGTTCCAAGAAAGATCAGAAGTAAGAGTTAATCCTAGAAGATGAAGGGTAGATGACTCATTGAGTATATTACCTTTCATAAATACAGGAAGGTCTAAATTAATATGATAATAACTGGCTGAAATAAATTGAATTTTTATCTGAATTAAAGTTCACCAGCCACTGTGAGCCCCATGCTGTAGCAAAAGTGAGATTCTTTTCAAGCTCGAATGCCCCCTGCAAGCAATCAGAGGGAGTTGGCTTTATATCGTAACAAGAATAAATGGTAGTATCATCAGGGAAAATATTTTTAAAAATAGGGATAACAGATGTTGCTTTCCATCAGGCTGGAAAAAAGACTCTGATAAGCACTTGTTAAATTACTTTTGAAAGGATAGACGAAAGCTTTGAAGAACACTTCTGCAAGACTATAACAGGTATGTTGTCCGGGCAGCAAGCTGTAGGAGAGTTTAAGCAGAAAATCACTTTAGATACAGAAGCTGGAGTGATACAGATGTCAAGCAATGGATTAACCTGTTTGACCGCTATTTCAGGTAGAATGCAACTAGTGGAATCAAGAGGTGATATTGATGAAAAGTTCTTAGCAAACAATTCAGCTTTGTCTTAAGGTGAGACAACAAAGTCTGAGCAATTTAAAAGAGGTAGAATTACAGACTTGCCCTTATTATTGATACTACTAAAGATTCTTGGAAGTCGTAAGAGCCTAATTTTTGAGATGAAATACGAGATTTCATGATATGAGAAAAGTAGGCTTTGGCGTTAGATAAAACATTTTTACAATGGTTACTAGCAGTAATAAACAGACATCTGTTTTCTGGAGAATTGATTTGCTGATAGATATGGAAGTAATGGTTTCGATTGACAATTGCAGCAGCACAATGTGACCTGGAATGGTCGAGTTGAAATAAAGGATTCCATGCCAGCCTGAATTCATGAAATTATGTAAGAAGCACATTAGTCAACAAAAAGATAAAAGATTTCTACCCAAGACCATCACATAGAAAATCACGGAAAGAGTCCCAGTCAGCTTTAGGGTAACTGTAAGATGTGCGATGATAGGGGGAGTCAGATGATAAAGAAGAATGAGATAATAATTTTAGCAAGATCAAACTGTGATCAGAAGCACCTAAGGGTAAGGAGAAACTAAGCACTGACTAGGATCAGAAACAAGACACATGTCGAGTAGAAAAGGTAAATGATTCGGGTTGTCTGGAAAGTGAGTTGGAAAGTTGACTATTTGAGTTAGGGATTGGGAAAGGCAAAAGTTGTGGGCTTTAATGCCTGCGGAGTCACTGACACTAGAGCCAAGCCATTCAGTGTGATGAACATTAAAGTCACTGACAATAACAATATTGACTGATGGATAAAGAATGAGGGCTTGGTCAATATAATCAGAAATAACATCAAAAAGAGTGCAGACTTGAGATTAGGGAGAGCGATATAGAACAAAGAGAAAGGTGATAGAGTGAAGTGGTGCTAAAGCACATAAAAGAGTAGTCTGTGGATTCAAACCTAGTTTCCTGACAAATGGGTGAATTCTTACGAATGTAAATGTCTAGGCCAAGCATGTGGCTATTGGAGTCTTTACAAATTAAAGGAAGATAACCATTAACTCTAAGATCACAAGATGAGACAGCTGAACTCAAATTAGTCTCACAAAGAACAAGTAGGTCTGGTGAACTTTGCAAGAGATACGACTCAACAGAAGAAAAGTTACTTCGAAGACCACAAATATTGGTGAATGATAGGTTTAGCGAACTTGGTGATGACTGTGGTTTTTTGTGTTTTATAGTTTTTGTTACTTATTTCATTTTTAAATTTCTTAAAGAACTTGACTCGAAACATAGATAGTACTCAGTACACCGTCTTATAGCTCAAGCAATTGCCTCATTTCCACTAATAAACCCTAAGCCGTAACAAAGGGCTCCAATCTGGCCTTGGCAATGCACACCAAAAGTACAAACAGGGACACCATCCATGCGCAACATGGCACTGTTAGTACTCTGATATTTTTCAGCTGTTGATGGAATCAGCCTCTCTGAGAGTTACCACAGAGTTCAGGAAACCTGGCTACCAGCCGGCCTCAGAACCATAAAACTGAGTTTTAAAGCTGTACCCTCATTTGGAGATAATAGAATGAGTTGCCTAGTCATAAAAACAGAGACACAAGCAAAACCCATGCATTGAGTCAAGAAGATCCAGCGTTCATCATCCTAAACTGGAAACAATGTATTAAAAATACATCTGTGCCAGCCTAATAGATAGTGAAGGGGTGCGAGGCTGGTCAACAGATAGAATCTGTTTACCCTTTAAGTCTTTGCCTAGGAGGCTTTCTACAAGACAGCAGGCGGATGCATTTAACATCTGCCCAAG